GATGTTGCCGACGTAGATGTCCTTGGAATTCCTTGACTTTTTGCTAAAAAAGAAAATTGTTTTTAATTAAAAAAAATTCCGTATAAATATATATATATATATATATTTAATTTAATACATATATATATATATATTTAATTATATGTGTGTGTGTGTGTGTGTGTGTGTGTATGTATGTATGTGTGTGTGTGTGTAGGCAAATGATTATTTTATGAAACTAGCCTATTTTCCTAGAGAAGTAACATTTGCTTAAATACTTTTTAGGAAAATAGAAAAAAAATTAATATAAAAAAGAATAAATTAAATAAATAAAAAAATTAATGGAAATAAATTGCAATATATAACTTACGTTGGAGATTTCACAGAGAATTTTATAACTTTTTTATGGCGAAGGACATGGGGGACAGGGCAAAGCCCTATGAACTTTCACCTATGCGTTCTATCTCAGCATAAAAAAAAAGGTTGTGCATCTCAATTTATTTCTATTCATATATGTATATATATATATATATATTCTATGTATGTATCTATATATATATATATATATATATATAAAAAATTAATATAAAAGAGAATAAATTAAATAAACAAAAAAGTAAATGGGAATAAATTACAACACATAACTTACGTTGAGTATTTCACATTAGAACTTCTACGCAGTGCCATCCTTGGTCATTTCTACACCCTCAAGTTTTGTTATTATTTTTTATGTGGAAGGGCATGGGGGACAGGGCATAGCCCTATAAACTCTCACCTATGCGTTCTATCTCAACATAAAAAAAAAGGTGCATCTCAATTTATTTCTGTTCATATATATACAGGGTGAGTCATTTTAAGTGACGGACTAAAATTTCTCGAAAACTATAGGAGATACAGAAAAATGTTTCAGACAAAAGTTGTATGGTTTCAAGGGGGACATAAGATGGTATCATTGGTTTGACCTTGAAGAGTTATTTGAAAGTCACATGAAGGTCACCTTCAATTTCTTAAGTGGAATCTACATTTTCTCTTTACATATTCTTGTAGCTTATCTCGAGAGCTTTCCAAAACACTATAATTAAGTACCTTTCCGTTAAGTACTTTTTGAGTTATAAGGCTTGAAATCATTTCTTAATTTTACATAAATCATAAAATATCTTGTAAAATATTCATTTTTCGATTATCTTATATTACTACTTTTATGTACAAAATAATGAGAGGAATCAATTGATGTAAAGAAAATATACAGTTGTTTTTAAGAAAAAATATGTAATTGTTAATTGCAAATTACATATTTTTTCTTAAAAATAACTATGTCTTTTCTTTACACCAATTGATTCCTCTCATTATTTTCTACATAAAAGTATTAAGGTAAAATAATCGAGAAATGAATATTTTACAAGATATTTTACGGTTTATGTAAAATTAAAAAATGATTTCAAGCCTCATAACTTGGAAAGTACTTAATGAAAACTAACTTAATTATAGTGTTTTGGAAAGCTCTTGAGATGAGCTACAAGAATATAGGGCAAAAGCATATAGGGTGTCCCATTTAAAAAGTTGGAGCTGACCTTCGCGTGTCCTTCAGGTGGCCCTTCCAGATCAAACTAATAACACCATCTTATGTCCCCCTTGAAACCATACAACTTTTGTCTAAAACTTTTTTCAAAATAATCGACTCCAATTGTTCGCGAGCGAGTCCGGCAGTGAGTTGAGGAAGGTACAAGATCGTCAGAGAAAAGATATTCTGTCTTCGGTTAACAAAAAAGACAAGACTTTATTCGTGTCAAAAAAATAAAGGTGACAAGTGTTCGGTGATTGCGATTCACAGAAAGCGCGCGCTGCATAAGGCAATAAGTTGTTATGTGAGATATCGCGAGCGGAGCAGTGGGCTGATCGTCGGAAATGCGCGGATAATCGAAGTCCAAAAGAATAGCGGTCGTTATAAGCGGTGTGTAATGGCGGTGTAGCAAATCGATAAGTTCAAAGAGCACGTCTTAGAAAAGCGCAAGACTTCCCCGTGCCCACGTGCGGAGCTCTTTATATAGCAGGTAGAATTTTCGGGCCCGTTGCAACGTGGGCCAATAGTTTTCGAATTTTGGCGGTGACCTCAGGGCGCCGCGCATTATTGGCCGCCGATGAGGTCATGAGTTGAGATTTTTACTTTTGCCATGCGCACGATCTTTTTTGATCAGCTGATTGGCGATCAGCTGATCGTGACGTATGGGCGCGCATGCCCATATGTTGCTCTGATTTTGTCGGCGATTGACAATGTTGTTGTCAACGAGCATGATGAGTGTTTCTTAGTCGTTAGAAAAAATAGAAACTAACTCGACCGATTGAGTTTTTGTAGAAAACAGACGTTTCGAGAAGTTTCTTTGACGCCCGTTAATTTTGAAACTTTGAATTTAATTGATTTTATTCACGCAAATTTGATTATTGAAATGCCGATTATGAGTTTGAACATCCCGCCCGCCTCGTCAGTTCATGACGAAATGTGTGAGTGTGTGCGAGTGCGGACAGGTGTCGCAAATGGTTCCGTTGATGAGTGGTGGATCAAGATCGATGAATGAAGCGCGATGGCGATGCAGCGTAATGACACGTGTTGTGTACAGCGGAGAATAGTGTGATTCGTGAGTGCAGTGAAAAAGAGTGAGGGTGAACATCAAGAACGCGATGAATGAAGGTGAGCTTGAAATTCCACGGTGACGAAGTGCGCGTGAGAGAAAGAAAAAAAGGGGTAAAATAAAACGGAGAGACTGATAACGCGGCTTGTGTGTTGTGTTTCGAGAGTGAGAACGTGATGATACGCCGAGTGAACGTCGAGGAGCAGCGACGCGTGGTTTTTATTAATGATCACATGTCAATTCAAGAGACATATTACATTTTAAGCGTTTAAACGCGGTAGGGTGTCGTTGACCGGCAACAAAACGATTTTTGTGAGCGGCTGGACGAGTTCGGAAGCAGCTGTGCGCACGGTGACGACACGCGTGACTCCGTCCTCCCCGGGATGCGTTTTGAGTATCCGGGCGAGCGGCCATCGAGTTGGTGGAGTGATGTCCGAGCGAATGAGGCACAACGCGCCGACTTCTGGAGAGTGGTTGTCCTTGAACCATTTTGGACGAGATGTCATCGAGTGGATGTATTCTTGGGACCACCGCTGCCAGAAGTGGTCGCGCATCTGCTGTAGAAGCTGCCACCGTGAGAGCCTGCTTGATGCCTCGTCGGTCAAGGAAGACTCAGGAAGTGCGAGCAATGGAGCCCCTATAAGAAAGTGTCCAGGAGTTAGTGCGGACAAATCATCTGGGTCGTCGGTCAGAGCCTGCAAAGGACGGGAATTCAAGCACGCCTCAATCTGAGCCAGCAGGGTACTCATCTCCTCGAAGGTGAGAGTGGTTTCCCCTATCACCCGTCGCAGGTGATACTTGGTGGATTTGACTGCAGCTTCCCAGAGTCCGCCGAAATGAGGGGCGGCGGGAGGATTGAAGCGCCAAGATACTCCCTCCTGGGAGCAGGATTGTGAGATCCGACGGCCGTCGGCAGATGAAGCGTGGAACATGCGGCGAAGTTCCTTATCTGCGCCGGTAAAATTTGTGCCACAATCCGAGTACATCTCTTTACACAGACCCCGGCGTGAGATGAACCGGCGGAATGCAGCGAGGAAGGCTTCAGAAGAGTAATCTGACGCGACATCCAGATGGACTGCCCTGGAAAACAAACAAATGAAGACCACTACAAAAGCCTTGTGGGCTCGATGACCTCGACCCTTGCTCGTGCGGATGAAGATAGGACCAGCGTAGTCGACTCCAGTTCTAAGGAAGGGGCGTGCGGGTGTCACTCGTCCTCGAGGTAGGTCACCCATCAGAGGCTGTGGTGAGAGAGCTCGCCAGCGGGTGCACATCACGCACCGGTGAAGAACTCGCTTCACGACGGCTCGGCCTTGCGGAATCCAATAGCGGAGGCGCAGAAGTCCCAAGGTGAGTTGCACACCTCCATGCAATGTCCGACGGTGGCATGATTCCACCAAGAGCTTCGTCAGCCATGACGTTGGCGGAACTACTGTCGGGTGACGTTCGTCATAAGAGAGCATGACGTGTTTTAGCCGACCACCGACCAGCATTCCAAGGTCGTCTATGAATGGGGCCAGCTTAGCCAGGCGGCTGCGATGCGGCATTGGACGAGAATCACGTGCAGCGTTGAGTTCGGAAGCGAAGTGGATCCCTTGGACTACCTTAAGCCACCGGAGTAGAGCTGCATCATAGAGGTAAAGGAGAGAGTATTAGGCTTTACTATGGGTAAGGGGACTGAAGCTTTAGTGAGGAAGAAGGGTAAGCCTTCAGCCATCTTGATAGGCGACATTAATGCTGCCATCTATTATTACTTTGACGTATTACATATCAGTTTTATATATTAGAAACACAGAAGTATGAAATGTATATATATTATTTATAATATATTTATTTTCCTGCAAATAAAATTAATTTATTATAATAATGTCTTTTACTTATAGTAATATCTGTAGTTTTTCCAATATAAAAATAACGAGTTTTAACATATTTTAATATTATACTTTTTACTAATTGCACTCTATAACAAGTTAAAGCATTTTGATCATTTGAATGAGCAATCAAGTCTGTAAATATATTATTTATATTTAAATTACGTAGCACGCAATATGCAATATAATTGGCATTATATGTATCAAAGATAATAGTACGCTGTTCTTTGTTGTGACACTTACGTGTGAAAAGTTATCTTCTGCTTTTTTTCGAGTTCTTCTTGTTTATGTGATTTTCGGAAGGTTCTGTTATAACAAGTTTTCAAAATACACGATGGCATTTTCTTATGCACTTAATTTACTTGTATATCGTATTCTTCTTCTTCTTAGTTAATTTCACTTAGCACTCCTTCACACTATATTTCAAGTAGCAAATAGCTCTGCTATGCATTAGATAGCAGCACTAATTTCGCGGAACAAGATGGCTGAAGGCTTACCCCTCTTCCCCACTTCGGCTTCAACCTCACGGCTCTATACTCTCTCCTTTATCTCCATGAGCTGCATTGATCTCATCTTGATGTAGCATGATGTCATGAGCGTGGACGGTAGTTTTGCGCCATCGGTGACACCAGGCAGAGACTCGCAAGAGCCTGTGTAAGTTTGAGAATCGGAGGAGAAGTTCCGGCTCGGAGTCGTTGCGATACGTGTTCACTGAAAGATGTATTCTCTTTTCAGGAATGCTCTCGAGGGAGTCGTCGCTGGTGTTGACTGGCCATTGAGTGTGTTCCTGGCGTAGCCAGTTGGGCCCGGTCCACCAGAGAGGATGAGTCAGGAGCTCCTTCGGCGAAATTCCCCTTGAGGCGCAGTCCGCGGGATTCTCTCGACCCGGAACGTGTTTCCAGTGAGCTTCGGGAAGCTTCTGCTGGATTGAAGACACTCGGTTGACCACATATGTCTTCCATCGGGAGGCATGGCCCTTGATCCAGTGGAGGGTGACCTTGGAGTCGGTCCATAGATGCACGGCCAATGAAGAGAACTCCAGTGTTGACCGGACTTGGCACACGAGATTTACCAGCAGGGCGGCGGCGCAGAGCTCAAGTCGGGGGAGCGTCACAGGTTTGATTGGAGCGACCTTGGTCTTGGCCGCCAGGAGGTGAGACGAAATATGATCGGCTGATGCCGAGCGGAGGTAGACGACGGCGGCCAAACCTCGTTCTGAGGCGTCGGCGAAGCCGTGAAGTTCCAGCTGCGCATCGCTGCTCCCTGATTGTATCCAACGCTTGATGCGAAGATGCTCTAGTGAGGGAAGCTCATTCAAGAGGATTTGCCACTGTTTTGTCTCCTCTGCTGAAAGAGGGGTGTCCCAATCCAACCTTTTTAGCCAAGTAGACTGAATCAGGATCTTGGCCCTGACTATGACTGGAGAGAGCCATCCCAGCGGATCAAACAGCCGTGCGGTTTCGGCTAGAACTCGTCTCTTGGTCAACTCCGTTGCGATGCGAGGTTGGATTGCGAAGGAAAAGTCGTCGCTTGCCGGATGCCAGCGCAGACCCAAAGTGGAGTGTACCTCGCCCTCCCAGGCGTGATGAGCCTGATGGAGCTGATGATCCTGAGGGATGCTGGATAGCAGGGCCGAATTGTTTGCTGCCCACTTACGCAGCGGAAACCCGCCCGCCATGCAGATCTCTCTCAATTGTGCTTGCAAGGAGAGCGCATCGGGCAGGGTGTTGGCTCCAGTGATGATGTCGTCCACATAGCAGTCGTGTTGCAAGGCAGAAGCTCCTAGTGGACCGCGAGACTCCTCGTCAGACGCTAATTGTCTCAGCGTTCTGACCGCTAGGAAGGGAGCGCAAGCGAGTCCATAGGTCACCGTGTTCAGCTCGTACTCGGTGACGACGTTAGTGGTGCTCGGACGCCACAATATGCGCTGAAAACGACGATCTTCCGGGTGAACGAGAATTTGTCTGTACATTTTCTCAATGTCGGTAATGAACACGTAGCGGTGCCGACGCCACCGAAGAATGATGTCGGCCAGAGTGGGTAGTAAATTTTCGCCGACTAGGAGATGTGAATTGAGTGACTCTCCTGAATGTGTGCGTTGAGATTCATTGAATACGACGCGGAGCTTCGTGCTGGAGCTGGATTCACGCAGGACCCCGTGATGAGGTAAGTAGCACATTGCTGAGGTGCTCTTCCTAACTGGACTCATATCAGGTTTCAGGTTTTCGTACTCGACCATGAAGTCCTTGTAGAGTGAACCGAATTTTGGATCTTGATGACACCGCTTCTCCATGGCCGTGAGAAGGCGTTCAGCAGACGCTCGAGTTCCGAGGAGGGATGGCGGCGAAGATGCGAAAGGTAGGCGAACCACATACCTTCCGCTTGCGGTTCGCGAGTGAGTTTGTGAAAAGAGTGTTTCACACCTTTCATCCTCTGGCGGGAGTGCGATTACAGTGGACGGATCCTCTTCCTGTTTCCAAAAGTTGTGCACCAGCTCTTGCAACTCCGCGTCGATGGTGCATTGAAAGGACGCTCGCTGATCCCGTACTGAAGCGGTGTTGGATCCACCTGATAGGATCCAACCTAGAGCGGTTTCCTCCGAGCCATGGGATCTCGAGGGCTGCCCTTGCGGAGTCCCTCCACAAATATGGTCGAGCAGACTTCGGCGCCTAGCAGCAGTTCGACCGGGTCATGCTCGAGGAACTTTGGATCGGCGAGCTTGAGGCCGTTAATGTGAGGCCACGAGGAGAGGCCCCTCGCGGTTGGTCCTTGGTAAGCGGAGAGCCGAGGTAACACTTGAGCAACGGCGGTGAGCTTAAATCCAGTGACTGGAGATGAAAGCTGCAAAGTTACCTTGCCACGTGTTGCGGAGGACCGGGTTCCACCGATGCCGACGATTGAAACTGAAGAGCGGGAGCGCGGTAGGCGCAAACGTTGAACTAGCGCGTCGGAAATTATCGACACTTCGGAACCCTGATCAATCAGTGCTCTGACTGCGTGAGGCTCTCCGGTGCGGTCGGCAATGTTCACGCGAGCGGTCGCGAGGAGGATTGCCTGGCGGTCTGAAGGCTGGCGCACCGCGGAGAGTGCGGTGGCCTCGTTTACATTGGACGAGACGTAGGCATCGTGCAACATGGTGTGGTGCTTGGCCTTGCATGACAAGCACGTTTTAGCGGATTGACATTTGGCGATCATATGATTCCCAAGGCAGTTAAAGCACAGCCGATGAGATTCAACGAAGGACTTACGATCACCGGCGGATTTCGATTTGAATTCGCTGCATTGCATTAACATGTGCTTTCCTTCACATAGTGCGCACTTTCGTTGGTCGGTACTGTGTTTTGTGTGAACAGACTTCACTGATCGCGACGAATCTCCGCAACTCTTTAGAGTTGCTTTCGACTTTGCGGCGTTGAGGGTTAAAATTCTTTTCGCGATGAAGTGTAAGAGCGTGTCGTGATTTGGCGGTTCCAAAGAGTCGGCGGTGGAGGTTTCCCACTCCATGCGTGTGCGCGAGTCTAAGAGCTCGATGACGAGGAAATTGAACAAATCCATCCCGTGAGAGTTAATGGGTCTGTGTATGCTCTCTTGAGCATTAACCGCGGTCATGACGGCGTTGTGAATGCGGCTAAGTTCCTCGGCGGTTTCTCCCTTCATTTTAGGCACGGCAATAAAGGTCGTGAAGTTTGAGCGGATCAACTCCCGTTTATTTTCGAAGTGTTTGCAAAGAATCGCCCACGCGCGATGATAATTCTCACTGGTGACGGTTAATGACTGAATTAACTTTTCAGCGGCTCCTTTGACGCACGATCGGAGATAATGAAAGCGCTCAACGTCAGATATCGACGAATTCTCTCCGATGACTGAGGAAAAGAGATCGCGGAAGGACGGCCAATCTTCGTATGCGCCTGAGAACGTTTGTAATTTTATGCGAGGAAGCGAGGTTTTGATTGCGTGCTCTCGACCTTGATCTTGTGACGCGGTTGACGAGGCTCTTAAATCCTCCGTGCATTGGATCAACATGCTTCGTTGCAACACGTAAGTAGCTTCTAAAGTTTCAATGAAATCAGATCGAGCGTACTCACTTTCATAATACTTGTCCTTGAGGCAGGCTCGAATGCTGTCGTGCTGAGCTTCAACCTTTTTCCACAGACTGTCCAGTATGCTGATCCGTGCCTCGACGGCCCCTACGGTGATGTGACTCGCACCCATCTTTTTCAGGTTGTCCATGGACCTTGACATTCGCCCATGAATGTCGCGCTGAGCCTCGACCAGAGAATTCACGTCCATACTCATTTTCACTGACATGGATTGTTTTCCCTTTCAGGAATGCACTGCACTTCACTCTGAGCACGTCACTCACGAACTTGCGGATGCGGATTGAAGATAAAAATCCGGCTCGAAGGACCAGAAATGTTCGCGAGCGAGTCCGGCAGTGAGTTGAGGAAGGTACAAGATCGTCAGAGAAAAGATATTCTGTCTTCGGTTAACAAAAAAGACAAGACTTTATTCGTGTCAAAAAAATAAAGGTGACAAGTGTTCGGTGATTGCGATTCACAGAAAGCGCGCGCTGCATAAGGCAATAAGTTGTTATGTGAGATATCGCGAGCGGAGCAGTGGGCTGATCGTCAGAAATGCGCGGATAATCGAAGTCCAAAAGAATAGCGGTCGTTATAAGCGGTGTGTAATGGCGGTGTAGCAAATCGATAAGTTCAAAGAGCACGTCTTAGAAAAGCGCAAGACTTCCCCGTGCCCACGTGCGGAGCTCTTTATATAGCAGGTAGAATTTTCGGGCCCGTTGCAACGTGGGCCAATAGTTTTCGAATTTTGGCGGTGACCTCAGGGCGCCGCGCATTATTGGCCGCCGATGAGGTCATGAGTTGAGATTTTTACTTTTGCCATGCGCACGATCTTTTTTGATCAGCTGATTGGCGATCAGCTGATCGTGACGTATGGGCGCGCATGCCCATATGTTGCTCTGATTTTGTCGGCGGTTGACAATATTGTTGTCAACGAGCATGATGAGTGTTTCTTAGTCGTTAGAAAAAATAGAAACTAACTCGACCGATTGAGTTTTTGTAGAAAACAGACGTTTCGAGAAGTTTCTTTGACGCCCGTTAATTTTGAAACTTTGAATTTAATTGATTTTATTCACGCAAATTTGATTATTGAAATGCCGATTATGAGTTTGAACACCAATCGAGATATTATCTTGTCTCAAGATAAATGCCCCACCCTGTATATACACGGTGGGCCATTTTAATCGATGCACTCGAATATCTCGAAAACAGCACTCTTCAGAAAGAAATGTTTCAAACAAAAATTGTAGGGTGTGAAGGGGAACATAAGATGGTAGCATTGGTTTGACCTTGGAAAGTCATTTAACTTAAATACTTTTATTTTAGGATATTTGGAAAGTCATTTTATTAAATACTTTTTGAGTTATAAGGCTTCAAAGTTTGCAGTACTTCGATATAAAATGCAAAATATCTCGTAAAATATTTAGTTTTCGGTAGTCTTACCCTAATACTTTTATGCACAGGATAATGAGACAAAACTATTGGTGCAAAGAAAACGCATGATTGTTTATAACAAAAAGTGCATTGCAAATTACACATTTTTTATCATAAACAATCATACGTTTTCTTTGCACCAATAGTTTTGTCTCATTATCCTGTGCATAAAAGTATTAGGGTAAGACTACCGAAAACTGAATATTTTACGAGATATTTTGCATTTTATATCGAAGTACTGCAAACTTTGAAGCCTTATAACTCAAAAAGTATTTAATGAAAAAACATTTGTCTGTAGTGTTCTGGAAAGCTCTCGAGATAAGCTACAAGAATATGTAATGAAAGATAGTGGGTTCAATTTAAGAAATTGAAGGTGACTTTTATGTGACCTTCAAATGACTTTCCAAGGTCAAACCAATGTTACCATCTTATGTCCCCCTTCACACCCTACAATTTTTGTTTGAAACATTTCTTTCTGAAGAGTGCTGTTTTCGAGATATTCGAGTGCATCGATTAAAATGGCCCACCGTGTATATATATATACAGGGTGGGGCATTTATCTTGAGATAAGATAATATCTCTATTGGAGTCGATTATTTTGAAAAAAGTTTTAGACAAAAATTGTAGGATTTTTCCCAGGCAATCCGACGGTGACCTTAGATTTGACCTTGGATAGTCATTTGAAGGTCACATAAAGATTACCTTCAATTTCTTAAATGGAACTCCCTACTTTTCATTACATATTCTTGTAGCTTATCTCGAGAGCTTTCCAAAACACTATAATTAAGTACCTTTTTATTAAGTACTTTTTGAGTTATAAGGCTTGAAATAATTTCTTAATTTTACATAAACCATAAAATATCTAGTAAACCATTCATTTTTCGATTATCTTACCTTCATACTTTTATGTACAAAATAATGAGAGGAATCAATTGGTGTAAAGAAAACATACAGTTGTTTTTAAGAAAAAATATGGAATTGTTAATTGCAAATTACATATTTTTTCTTAGAAACAACTATGTGTTTTCTTTACACCAATTGATTCCTCTCATTATTTTGTACATAAAAGTATGAAGGTAAGATAATCGAAAAATGAATGGTTTACTAGATATTTTATGGTTTATGTAAAATTAAGAAATTATTTCAAGCCTTATAACTCAAAAAGTACTTAATAAAAAGGTACTTAATTATAGTGTTTTGGAAAGCTCTCGAGATAAGCTACAAGAATATGCAATGAAAAATAGGGGGTTCCATTTAAGAAATTGAAGGTAATCTTTATGTGACCTTCAAATGACTATCCAAGGTCAAATGTAAGGTCACCGTCGGATTGCCCGGGAAAAATCCTACAACTTTTGTTTAAAACTTTTTTCAAAATAATCGACTCCAATCGAGATATTATCTTGTCTCAAGATAAATGCCCCACCCTGTATATATATATATATATATATATATATATATATATATATATATAAATTGAAATGCATAATCTTTTTTTTTGCAGAGATAGAACGCATAGGTGGAAGTTCATAGGGCTTTGCCCTGTCCTCCATGCCCTTCCACATAAAAAATAATAACAAAACTTGAGGGTGTAGAAATTACCAAGGATGGCACTGCGTAGAAGTTCTAATGTGAAATACTCAACGTAAGTTATGTGTTGTAATTTATTCCCATTTACTTTTTTGTTTATTTAATTTATTCTCTTATATATTAATTATTTTTCTATATATATATATATACAGGGTGATTCAAAATAACCCCTGTGTCCGTGAAATGACACATTGTTGAGTCAATTCTAAGACGATTTTTCATTTTGCAAAATTTCGTCCGAAGCTTAGTTTTCGAATTATTAAAGAAAGAAGTTAACGCATGACGAGTCGGATACAAGAGGCAGGCAAGGGTGACGCGAGACCCGTCAGTCGCGGGCGCTTACGCGGGGCGCCTGCTGCGATCAGCTGATCGCTATACACACAGACACACATGCGACACATACATTCTCTCTCTGTGTGCTGTCTGTCTGTCTGTCTCTCTCTCTTTCTCTCTCTCTCTCTCTCTTTCATTCGCTCACTCTCTCTCACGTGTATTTTTTTTTTTTTTTTTTTTTTTTTTTTACGAGAGGGGAAAATGCATTTTATGCATACCCACCGGTCGATCCAGTGAGTTATGTGGGACTCGAGTACCAAGTCGAATTACCAACTCGGTACTCCCTACCCACTAAAAACCCCTCTCTTTTCGCGAATTTTCTTTGACACACTGTCCCTCTGTCCTTCCCGAGATCCGTTTTCACATAACGTTAAAAAATAGTTATTATTACCTTGTTCGATGACTTCTGATGTATTGCTGTAATTGCTTGAAGGAGAAATGAATTTTCCGATAGATCGTACGTTCTCAAATTTAACGTAGATATCACGTTGCACAAGACAGAAATCCACACTAAATTATTAACTTTTTGAAAGTTTTTCTTCTTTTATGAACTGCATTCTTTTATAAACTTTAACGTAATCACATTTATTTATTCACTCGATGAGACGAGAAATTTACTGATGACTCTATCACTAATCACTGTCGAATAATAACTGTTGGCGATTAAAAATCACTCGATGAAAGAAACACGCGCGGACACGTTACTACATGATGCGACAATGCGACGATAATTACTCGGCGAGTGCAAGTGCCGCTGCTTCCTTGTCATGGTAGGTTGCGGTAGGTTAAGGTACTATTGGCGCTATCGAACGCGATCATGTGTTCGATTGAAGAATGCGTGGTAGACGTAAAGAATAAACATTTAACATATTAATATTATTATCATGAATATGTGTGATGTCCATACATCGTATGATATCTATTTAAAAATTAATTAGATTAAATAAGTGTTTTTAAAATATTTATTACTTTTATACACCCATATTAAATATTAATATTAAATATTTATTTAATTATTTTATCTATATTATTTACTATTTTATTTAACTATTTTATTTAACTATTTTATCTTTAACTATTCTATTTATTTATTTATCTATTTCATCTATTTATTTTTAACTATTTATTATCAATGATCGAAAATCGGTCATTGATAATAAATAGTTAAAAATAAATAGATGAAATAGATAAATGAAAAAATATTAATTAATCGCGTTTTATTCTCTCTCCTCTCTTTTTCTTGTGTTTTTAATTGCAAAATAAGATACTCCATACGTTAAAAAATTGGTCGCTCTGAAAAGAGCGGATTGTTTTTGATCGCCTTAAAAAGGGCGGATTAATTTTAAACATTTATAATAAATGTTCGAAGTGGTCCCCATCCATTCTAACGCATGCTCTCATCCGTTTCAATAAATTTTGTTGAACATTTTCCATTACGTCTTCTTCTATGGACCATACGGAATATCGCAATTTTGTTTCCAAATCTTCTACATTTTCAGGTAGCGTTTTGTATATCATTTCCTTGCAGTATCCCCAAAGAAAAAAATCCAATGGATTTAAATCCGGGGATCTAGCAGGCCAACGTATCGGACCATATCGGCCCATCCAACGTCCAGGAAACTTGTCATTTAAAAAAGTTGTTACAATCCTGGCATTGTGTGGACCAGCACCGTCCTGTTGAAAAATAATTTCTTCTCTTTGCGATAGTGGCACCTCTTCCAGGAAATCTGGTAAATTATTCTGTAATAATTCCAGATATGCTCCGCTGGTTAAAATATCCGGGAGGATAACTGGGCCCAGTATTTCTGTTCCCATAATTCCTGTCCAGATATTGAGCTTCCAACGAGTCTGAAAATTTCTGAC